TCTTGATATTTGCCCACAAGCGTGACTCCTCGACACTCCAGAACATTTGCTGTCTTTGACTCGCCGTCAACGAGGTAATATGTCGCAGATAGCCATGGCTGATCTGGGCAATCCGGCCGCAGAAAACTACCAAGGCTCCTATGATAACGGACCAGTAGATGATCCGCGTGATTATGACATCTCTGGGAACATTGACCCCACCGAGGCCTCGCGAGTACTCGTAAACGTAGGTAGTGTTTATCCCATGACCGCGGGCAGTGATGTGTTGGTGAAGGTCATCCATGGGAAGGACTGGATAAGCCGGAGTCGAGAGTGGTCGTGTAGTCCGTCGAGGGGTTGAAATAAAGCCAAACAGAAAAGAATGACGAAGTGAAGAGACCCTTCAGCCAGGAAGAGTTAAGAGCAGGCAATGCTGTTTTTACGCAGTGGAGATGCAAGTGCCGATGGCTGGGGAACGATAGGAATGTGGAGACCAAGCACGCTGTACAGGGCAACTATGAGTCTCTGACCGAAGCTGACGAACGACAAAGACCCTGTGAGTGCACCGACGAGAACAAGAATACTTGGGGTTAAAAGAGCGAAGTCCCGGGTGGATCTCTCAGAGTGAATCACTGTGTGCTGGCGATGTTATGGCACAGCTCGAACAATGGTGATTGTTTCAACTGGAGAGCGAATAAAGAAGATCCTCAAGGACGATTGTGTCTAACAAAGCCAAAGAATGTCAATACCACAGCGTGAAGACATTTAGACTCGACGTCTCAGAGGCGCAAGCACCACGGAATCAGAGACACAAATCAGAGACACAAATGGTCTCTGACCATGCCGCGAGGTGTGATGCCATGGCAGCCTTCGAGATTCCAGTGACACTCACCTCCCAAGTGCATGATCGTCCGCTACAGTATTCAGCAGAAGATTAGAAGACGCTCAGCGTCATAAAGTATTCAACGATCGATGACGTCGATCCTACAACAGATTGCAGACCCTTGGGTTTGCAGATGCAAAGTGATGAGCTCTGAGACAGGTAGTGATCGACAAATAAGGAACGAAAGGAGACAACAGATGCTCAAGCAAGAGTGTGTCTCTGATGGAAGAAAGAACCTGCCAAGAGGTTCGACAATGGATAGAAATGCTATTGAGTTGGAATGAACGCAGATCTCCTCCTGATGCGACGATCAGAGCCAGCTGAAGCAGAACAGTGAATATCGAATTCTAATAAACGACGACGAACGAAATCAACAGGAAACAAGAGAAAAAAGAACCCGAGGGGAAAGCTACCTTGATCTCAAGAGAAGATCCACAAGGCAGTTGGAAAAGAAGAAAAAGCTCGGGAAAACCCAACCAAGAAAGCAGACTGTCCTGCAGAGCTGTCATTCTGAAACGCAAGTAGAAAGGGAGGTGAGCCCCATATCTACTACTTTTCCTGAGGCAAATGGCGTGGTCTTGGGAGAGGAGTTCATATCTAAAGCCAAGACGGGCGTCTGTCGTGCCACTCGACCCAGATTGCAGTTTCTGCCCTAATTCTCGAGGTCCCTGGGCTCCCTTTGATCCGGGAAAATTGAATCTCAGGTCGCTGATGGGCGATGACGATGAGCACAAGAAGCGCCCTTGCAGATGATGTGCGACCGACAGCGCATCGCTGGCCATACAAACAGTCAATCTTCAGGTGGCGAGGCGCTGAGCTGGACGCGCCCAGCCCCTCTTCAGCAGCAATTCACAGCCTGTCCTCATTGTCATTCACCAGTAGACTCGCTGAATTGGCCACATGGAGTGGATATGTGCCAAGTCGAAGACCATGTAATTAATAGATTGGTCATAGGGTACCATGAAGCTGTTTCATATTAGGTAGCTCACAGTGAAACCTCCGCTGCAGATTGGATTATTGGCTTAACAGTGACAGACAGACCCACTGGAAGTTTGAAGTCTTCCAGTGCTCTCGGACAGTTGACGGGAGCTTGGGCCAGGAAGGAGAATCAACTCGCCAGTTCCCGTTTGCTTTCTTTCTATCGAGATGAAACAACAGTGGCTGCTTTAGACAGTTCAGTTCTCTTGCTAACCCGAAGGAAGTAGATAGATACAGGGGGGGAACAGACAGTGTGCGGTTGGCGCCGAGTCTTTTTTTCCCTAATGCAGCCACATGTGACATCGGTGTCGCGGAAATGGCACTAGGAGCAATAGTTTAATCTATTCCACATGGCATGTCTCATTCCTATCATTTCCTGACGCTTTCTAATATGTCTCTATCCTCATGGCCAGTGTTGCCAAGCTCCAGAGTCTCTCTCAGCAAGGGTCTCGAATCGAAGATAACGGGTCTGCCTGGTTATGACGAGTCAACGGCCCATACCTGGCTAAATGGCGAATGGATACAGTCTCACTCTCACCACACAGCCAACCTATAGATACGAGTTACCTTGCACAATGGTCCAGGCGTCATCTCTTTGGAACTTCTCGGAAGCGCCCAGACACTGGCTACGGACACTAAATCTATTCAAGACCATCGCCTGGTATAACATAGAGCAAAGGTGACCTGACCGGCTTTGAGAGCTCTCAGTCAGCTAACTACGGAGTAATAGTCCGAGTCTTCTATCATTTCCATAGTGATATACGGTGGTCATCTATTATTAACATATCGATATTCAGGAAGAGCCAATGTTTGCGACGCCCTTTATCGGCCCATCCAACCTCCGTCAACACAGATCACTTCCCCTGAAACATAGTTGCTTGCTTGACTCGCCAAGAACACAATAACACCCTTGAAATCTTCCGGCTTCCCCCATCGGCCTGCTGGGATTCTGGCCATGATGCCAGCGTTCCGATTGGCATCGTTGATCAAGGCAACGTTCATGTCCGTGTCAATGTATCCTGGAGCGATGGCGTTCACATTGATACCCTTGCTGGCCCACTCATTGGACAGGGCCTTGGTTAATTGTGCAATGCCGCCTTTCGATGCTGCATATGCCGGAACGGTGATGCCACCCTGGAAAGAAAGAAGCGACGCAACATTGATGATGGAACCACGGCGACCGGAAGGAAATTCAGACGCATCCCGAGCCAATAGGTAGGCTCCAAATTCACGGCACAGTGTAAACACAGAGGTCAAGTTGACTTCAATAACCTAAGGAATTTCGTAGACGCAATCAGCTTCGGAAGGATCAAGAACTAGGGGAACGTCTGACACACCTCGTCCCAATCCTCGTCCGGAAACTTCTCACTAGGGTGTCTCCTCTGAATGCCAGCACAGTTGAGGAGAATGTCGGGCTTCAGTCCTTTGTTTGTCACTGCTGGGATGATTTCCTTGACTTCTTCTCGTTTCGACAACTCTGCCACATGAATCCAAGCTTTTCGACCGATCCGGTCGACAATTTCATCGCGAGTTGATGTGTTTGATTCGTCTCTCTAGATGATACCGATTAGTACTCTCTACCATACGTAGCTCATCCCTCGCCACGCTAAAGGCAAGTTAATTCCAGTGCTCGCACCTGGATCAGTATAATATCCGCACCAGCTTCAGCGAGGGCAAAAGCCATTGCCTGGCCGATACCCCTCGTCCCGCCTGTCACAATCGCGGTCTTTCCGCTCAGAGAGAATAATGAAGGAACAGTTGCCGACATTCTGACGATTGCAATGGCTCAATGTAGGAGAATTGGGCAGACTAAAGTTTCTGGTTGTTGTAAATCGATATTGATAAGAAGATGCTGGAGATTAAGCGCAGCAGTGGCTTACTTCAGAAAAAGTTCTATATACCTGGAGACTTCACTATCGCAACCTGATGACGCTCCATGGCCATAAATAATATCAACCTGCTCTGTTCCTCATTGTTGTCCCCCACGTGCGGGGCAATCCAGCCTGTTGCCCAAAACGGATACAGCCGTTGCCGTCGGCTATTGAACCTGCTGGATACAGAGCACGTGGCTTGTATTGTTATGGTACGCTGACCATACCCGAATCCGGGGTGTAATCGCCGTCGAACAATACAATGGAACCAAGTCACTGTTTGCCTTCAATTGACAACGATCGATAGTTAGAATTGATATGATCCCATGTCTCTCACAGGTGTGAGGATTGGATTCGGTGGGATCAGCTGTAGAGAAATCGGATGCCACAATATGCGTTGGCGAATCCTGAGCAACCAGAGGAAGGTATCTACCTAGCATTTCGTATTACCCTTTCGTACAATGACCCCCAAACTTTCGGAGTCCACCTTGGTAATCGAGTTGCTCCCAACTAGTGAGACCCCGAATCATCTTCCCCAGATATCATTTTTCCTTTACAAACACGTCAACATCATTCGTGAATCAAGTGCTCGAAGGACAGGAGTCCGCTTTTATTGCTCTCATCGAAGTGATCGAAGTCTAAATCTCATACTGTGGGTCAAGGCGCTCGTGCCTTGGCGACCAGACCTTCCGAGGAGCTTCATCCTGAAAGACTCAACCTTTTGCTGCCTTTTCATCCATGTCTATTTGTCTGTCGATAGATCAAAGGTACATCATATTTGGGGTCCAAAGGCGTCGTCCTTTTTTTTTTTATCTCGAACCAGACCAGTGAACTGCATTTACCTCACTAATGGACTCGTTATGCCAAGCCTCACCAGCACCACGTCAAGGATGAGAAAAATGAGGCCTAAGTCCTATTGTTACCAAATTTCCACATTCTGACCTGAATCTCTGGCCTCTCTGAGCAGCAATGGAACGGGACGAACAGTCTCCTCCGCTGGGAGACACCTTAGGGTCGAGGCGAAAGTCTCGCTCCGACTCTTCAGCGAAGCGCGTATCAAGAGCCTGTTTGCACTGCCGACAGCGTAAATCCAAGTGTGATTTGTATGTTCCCAGCATTCACATGTCACATCGATCAACTGTCTTTCGCCGTTGCATTGCGCTAACAAAGTGAACAGGGACAGCAGTGGCAGTCCCGGGGTACCACCATGTCAACGGTGTATTCGAGACAACCGCGAATGTGTCCTTGGGGGCTCAAACCGAGGGGGACGCCGTATTCGCAAAAACAAGATGAAAAATTTCACTCCCAGCACTGACTTGTCCACGAGAATAGAATCGCTGATGGACACAACCAGCCCGTCCACCTCAGACAGCCGGCAGAATGCGTCTAGTTCGTACTCCAACCCGATCGTCTTTGTGCAGCCGAACCCTCCAACGACTGTCTCCGTTTCAGTGGATGACGAAGACACGGCCTCCATCGGTTCTGTACCGCGAAATCCGTCTGATGCTTGGCAATGTCTGACAGGCATAGCGAAAAGAGGCACCGATGATTTGAATCCGGAAACCCACCCCGATTCCGCGCGTACAGATCCGACCGGCTTCCCATCCTTCTCGGTATTTCAGAATGGCGCAGCTACGGATTTTCACCCAACCAGTGGTATCAAAGCCTACAGGCTGGTACAGGCAAGGTCTCTGGACCCAGGGACAGTGTGGCAGCTTGTGGCTCGTTACGCCGAGAATTTTCATCCTTATCTTCCCCTGGTGCCGCGAAAATACTTTGATCGCCATGCGCTCGACGCTTTTGCCACTAACGAGAAACACTTGTTGACCGCGGTGCTGACCATTGCCTCCAAAGACCTGGTCGAACGGCCGGAAATCCACGAATACTGCTCCAAGTACATGCATGAACTCATCTCCGGCATTGCTGCTGGTGCTGATTGCGATGTGGAAGCCGTCGAGGCGCTACTCCTTCTCGCCGAGTGGGAACCCCAGGGTCTTCGGCCGCGGATCGAGCAAGTTGGGCGTGGCGAGGAGGACCGAGCCGCCTGGATGCATGTCGGGCTTGCTCTGCGATCGGGCTATTTCCTTGGGTTGGATCGGACGTCCTTCCGGGGTGATGCTTCGGGGGATACGGAGACCGAAGCCCGCAGACGACTGGCGTGGACCTGCTGCTACATCTCCGACCGTCTGATTTCCGTCCGTATCGGGCGGGCTTTCTGGTCGCGAGGTCCAGGACCGATGACGGGTCTTGTCAGTCAGGATTTCCCTTCCCTACAACCTGTCAAGAGCGATGAGGAAGATTATGCAAAGATCTTCCAGGCGACACTGGATCTTACGCAACTCTATAACAATGTTCACGATGTACTCTACTCCGGGATGCGGGCCAGCAATCAAATGATGCTCATGGGCGACTACGTGAAATACGTGGACGATTTTCGCCTTGCCATTCTCCGTTGGAAGTCCCGCTGGGGCTCGCTTCCCTGTATGGCCTAACCCATATGCTTTGCGCTGTCAATCACTTACGTATTGCAGGTTCCACGCCGATGCGAGCCACGTTGCAGTTGTCATACGAGTATCTGAGGCTCTATACGAACGCATTCGCTTTTCAAGCTGCGATCTCCCAGTCACTGGTCTCCAAGCATAAAAACAACAATCACTCGCAAAGGGAGCATTTGCGCGCGACCTTCAACAATGTGGCATCAATGCAGGATGCGCGCTTCATTTACGAGTCTGTGGACGCTGCGAAAGCGTATCTGACTATCCTTGTTGACGAAGTGCATCCGGAAAAGCACTTGCATTTTATGCCTCTGAGGTTTTACTTGTATGGCATCTATGCAGCAGTCTTCTTATACAAGGTGGGATGGTCGTCCAAACAATTCGAGTATGAACTGACCGATAGCAGGCGCGTTCATTCGGTGTCATGCTGAACTCTGAGGAGACGAAGGTGCGAGAACTGGTCACTCGCACCACTGAGGTGCTGAAGCGAGCAAGTGCCGGGCCAGATGACATTGGGGCTCGATATGCACGGCTTTTGGAACTCTTGTGGCAGTCTAAGCCTGCGCCCGCCGTCTCTCCTACGGCAACCCATCGAAGCAGCGATCTATTGATGCAGAACACACTCAATCGCTTGCCGGAGCAAAGTAATTATGTGCATTTCAGTCCTGCCAATGACTTTTCATGGCTGGATCTCGAAGCAGTCGGAGACTTTGTGTCTGGAGACCAAATGCCAGGAACTGGTACTCTAGCATTTCATGCATTCCAGCAAGAGCCTGATTTGTATCAATCAGGGCAGGACCGTTCTCAGCCATGGCCGATGTCACCATGGGTCGGTGACATGGCCGGCAACCTTTTGTTTTAAAAAGCATGCTTCGGGAATTTGACACGAAATACGGACAATTCCTCAGTCGTATGATTTTGGCGTGGGTCACATAGCTAGAACCGGAAATCTCTCTGTATCCGTGTGATTCCAGCTCTCCTCTGTGCTCTGTCACCCCCACACTGTTGATGCGGGGCTGCGGGGCACTTGATACGCGGGAGTTGCTCCGATGAAGCACAGCTGCCAAGTTGGTAGCCGAGGGGCGCCTTATCTTCTCGTCAAAGTATCAGAGGGTTGTTCTTTAGTCTGGCTCTCGTTCTCAATCCGGATGCAGATCATATGTTTGGTATGTCATTTTAATACTATCTACCAATGGCGCAGTTGAACGAGATACGCGGCCGATTGGCCCTCATCACAGGGGCGTCTGGAGGGTGAGGATCTATCTACTTGTGTATTGTCTCCGATGCTGACGCTTTTGCTAGGATTGGAGCTGCTTGTGCTCGTCAGCTGGCTCAGAAGGGAGTCCATCTCGCTTTGACGTATTCTACCAACCTCGAGGCAATGAATGCGCTTGTAAAAGAGCTTAGATCCAGTCAATCGGCAGCAGATGGCGCCGATGCACTCCGCATTTCAATCCACCAGGTCGATGTTGCGTCTGCAGAGCAAATCCAGAACATGTTCGCACAGATCGACCAGGAGCACGGACAGCGACCGGACATTCTTGTGTCCAATGCAGGCTACGGCAAGCGCATCCCACAGGTTTGGGATATCTCACTGGAAGAATTTGACTATACCATCAACGTGAATCTGCGGGCCTCCTTCATCCTGGTGAAGGGGATTGTCGACCATATGAGGGAGCAGCGGTGGGGTCGAATCGTCTTTATGTCTTCGATTGCTGGGTACGGCGGTGGAATCAATGGATGTCGTAAGTGCCCAAGTCTCCATGCTCGACAAGAAGCTCGCATAGCTGACCCTGTTATTGATAGATTACGCCGCTTCGAAAGGCGGTATGACTGGCATGATGAAGAATCTCGCGACTCGTCTGGCTGAATATAATATCAGTGTCAATGACGTGGCACCGGCCATGATCGGCGACACTGGCATGATACCCAGCGCTCAAGCCATCCCTGAGGTTGCAGCGGGGATTCCTCTTGGTCGACTGGGTACCCCTGAGGAAGTGGCTAATGTTGTGAGCATGCTCGTAACGACGGGCTACATGACTGGCCAGAGTTTGCTGCTGGCAGGAGGGTTAAAGTAGTTTAAAGATATATCAGGAAAATAAACGCAAGTGCATGTCACCCAAGCTTATGCAAGTGGTTAATCTTCTATACGCCACATATGTAGCTCGTAATTTACGCTTGCTCCTCGTCCTGTCCATCAATATCTCAAACAATCGTTGGTCAAGAACAGGGTATACATTGCCGAATGAAACACGAACAAGAGAGGCATCCTAGCTTTCAATCACAACCTTGACCACAGGTCTTCCCGCCTCATCCACTCCCTTCCCAGCCAGAGCAAAAGCCCGACTCCCGTCCTCCAGTCTGACCCGATGGGTAACAACCTGCTTCTCAACATGGTCGAACTTCCCACTGGCCATCAACTCGATCGCAGCCGGGTACGCATGGCCATCATACCGGAACGTGCCAATGATATCCACCTCCCGCAGCGCCGCCGCGCCCACCGGGAGCGTCTGAATCGGGTTCCCCATCCCGATCTGCACAAGGACCGCGCCGGGGGCCGCAGCGTAGATACCCGCCTGCACGCACGCCGGCACACCCGTACACTCGTACACCCGCACAAACCCCGCCGCAAGACCACGCGCTTCTTTCAGCGCCGCCGCGGTCCGCTGGGCGTTCTGCATGGCGTGGGCGATGTGCTCCGCGCTGGGGGCGTCCGGGGCGGGCGCGGGGTGGGCCTTGTCGCCGCCCCTGGGGAGGAGATGGGTCTTCAGGCGCAGGTTGAGGGAGGCTGCGATCTCCAGGCGCGCGGGATCGATGTCCGCCACGACGATGGAGGTGAAGGGCTGCGAGGTGGCCAGCGCGGCGGCGAGGAGGAGGCCGATGGCTCCGGCGCCGAAGATCAGCGCGGCGGACTGGTCGCCCAGCGCGGTGGCGCGGTGCACGTCGGCCTCGGTGGGCGGGTGCGAGCGGCGGATGGCGTGCAGGCAGACGGCGAGGGGCTCGACGAGGGCGCCGCCGGCGTAGGAGACGGTGTCGGGGAGCTTGTGGCAGAGGTCGGCGGGGTGGTTGGTGAGTTCCATCAGGGTGCCGTCCAGGTGCGGGAAGAGCTTGGCGCTGCTGCGGAACTTCATGTCCGGGCAGATGTTGTAGCGGCCGGCGCGGCAGAGGGTGCAGGTGCGGCAGGGGAGGCCGACTTCGAGGGCGACGCGGTCGCCGACCTGCAGGGTTGTCACGTCTGGTCCGAGGGCTGTGACGGTGCCGGAGGATTCGTGGCCTAGGCACATGGGCTCGCGCACGACGAAGTCGCCATTGCGGCCGTGGTTGTAGTAGTGGAGGTCTGAGCCGCAGAGACCGGTTGCGCGGATGGCGACCTGGACTTCGGAGCCGGTGGGAGGGGAGATGGGCCGTGATTCCTGGATGTTGGGTTAGTATCGAGCTGTGTTTGTATGAGGACCAGAGGTTGCTACATACCAGGCGGAGATCTTTGGCGCCGTGGAGGACGAGCGCTGTGGTGGTGGTCATGATGCTTGATGGACTCTCGATGTCGATGAGATTGAGAGGGACCTTGGAGGAGAAAAAGTTCTCATGGCTCATGAAAGAATTTCATGATAAATCCGATGCATCACCACCCCATTCACTGTGGTTGCTCGTCTTCTCTTCCCCTCGTCGGCCATTGAATAACGTGGGGTCATACCACGGATTTGCTCCGCAGCGGGAATTGAACCGCATTTCAATAGCCGACAGTTAATGATTACCGACAAGAACATGGTGTATTTAAGATCATGCACGAGAGTATCTGAATTCAAAGATCATTCTTCTGCATAGAGCGACTTGTAGATAGCAACCTCAGTCTATTTCAGCCATCTGAAGGTTAGCCATGATTATCAATCACTTCCTGCTTCTGACCTAAATAATGTCAGATGTCTCGCCGTATCGTAAGTATGTATTCTGTATTGCTGTATCATCCTTGTGTAATACTGTACTGTAATACTCGATAACCCCCACGCGATATGGAGGAGCTCCGGAAAATGATGACCAAGATCAAGTCGATGAAACAATATCAAATAAACATGATCAGAGGTCCAGATACTAGTCATCTCAATAATTTCAATTATCTCTGTAATATCTCTCTTTCTTCCTTCTCTTCATCTCAATTGCTCTGTCCCTCCCTGCATTCCGTTCTTGAACGTTGAATTCTTCTCACACCGCGATAAGAGCTCCCACCCCGCTCTCCAACTCTGACATCATGCCTTCAGCTCTACTCATCGGCGGCATCACCCACGCCAGAAAGGAATGGGAGGATCTCTCGTCCATTCTGACTCTAAAGGTGAGTTCGGATTGTGGTCTGGTGGTGTGTCGACTCTAATGGAGCGTTTCAAGGAATTTCCCGAAGGCACCAGAGACGAGTTCATCCGGAATTGCAAAGACGGCCAGTACGATGATGTGGTAGCGATTTACCGATCCAATACGTCTACCAAGGTAAACACTGCAGTTGTACGGGACGATAAGGGTCTATTTACTGATTGAGCTCAGTTCACTGGCCCGTTCGATGCAGAGTTGCTCTCGGTCCTTCCCAAGTCATTGAAGTATATCTGCCACAATGGAGCTGGCTATGACAACATTGACATCCCCGGCTGCTCAGAGAAGGGTGTGACCATCTATGATTTCTAAATACAGAAACCAGAAAAGCTGACAATAGTATAGGAATTGCTGTATCCAGTACCCCAGTCGCCGTTAACCACGCCACAGCCGACGTAGGCATCTTCCTGATGATTGGCGCTTTGCGCCAGGCTTATGTCCCCTTATCTGCTCTTCGCGCTGGTTAGTAATCTGACGTTCGAAACTACGAAACTCGAGAAAATTGACAATGTCCACAGGCCACTGGCAGGGAAAAACTACGCTCGGCCATGACCCCCAGGGCAAGGTGCTTGGTATTCTCGGAATGGGAGGAATTGGAAGGGTAAGCCTGTCTTTCAAGCCATATGATCAGGCAGCTGATTTCGTTGCAATAGGAAATGGCCAATCGCGCAAGAGCTTTCGGAATGAAGATACAATACCACAACAGATCGAGACTCTCACCAGAGCTTGAGTGGGATGCTCAATATGTCTCGTTTGATGAGTTGCTGGGGAATGCGGATGTCCTCAGCTTGAATCTCGCTCTCAATGCCAAAACCCGCCATATCATTGGCGAGAAGGAGTTCCAGAAGATGAAGGATGGTGTGGTCATTGTGAACACAGCTCGTGGAGCTTTGATTGACGAAAAGGCTCTGGTCGCCGCTTTGGATTCGGGCAAGGTAAGCTCCATCCTATCTTACTTCCTTGAGTTATGGGTAGTAATGTTATGCGACAGGTCATGTCGGCTGGTTTGGATGTGTATGAAAACGAGCCCGAGATAGAAGCTGGCCTGGTAAATAACCCCCGCGTGATGCTGCTACCACACATCGGAACCGCGACCTATGAGACTCAGAAGGAAATGGAGCTGTTGGTCTTGAACAACTTGCGCTCGGCGGTGGAGAAGGGCGAGATGATCACATTGGTGCCGGAGCAGAAGGATATTTTTAAGGGGCAGAATGGACATTAACTTGATGATTTGATAGACCTTATTTTCCTGTTCATAGAGCAATGCACGTTTCATAGACGACGTTTTCCTATACCAACAACCATAATAACAATCAATGAGTGAGACGAGAGTTTAGATGAAAGTAACTTTGATGTTCCTGATCTGCCGGGCGGTGAGTTGGTTGACTACCGGACTGGGCCTAGTGTTAGGGCTCGCTTAGGGCGCGCGGGCGCCAAGAGCGAAAAAGCGCACCACAACGAGCGAGCCTCGCGATCTCAAGATTCCAGCGGCCGACGAAAGCAAAGCGACAAAACTTCTCATCCGACATCGAGGACCACCCCGCTCGGCAACCGCATCAAGATGGTGAGTGTTTTTGACATTATTCAAGACGACGGAAACGATGGCGAAGGGATACATCGCGAAGAAACAAAAAAAAGCAGACGGCAAGAGATGAGGAAATCCGCTCTCAGAACGTTTCCCGTTACACCGGCGATGTTCGACTTCTACCTGTGTCGTTTCTGGCTGTGCCCTGGTCATGAAAGAAGAAATTCGAAAGCTTGAATTCCACCGTCGCCATCGTTTTCGCTACGTTTTATGCTTTGTGAAGGAAATGGGAATAGGACATGGTTTTGCTGATGTTGGGTCTTTGTTTGCATCAGGTCCGTTACGCTGCTCAGGAGATTCCGGCCGCAAAGAGCGCCCGCGCCCGGGGCTCTTACCTGCGTGTCAGCTTCAAGAACACCCGTGAGACCGCTCAGGCCATCAACGGCATGAAGCTGCAGCGCGCCCTTACCTTCCTCGAGAACGTCACCACCAAGACCGAGGTCGTTCCCTTCCGGCGGTACGCTGGCAGCATTGGTCGCTGCGCTCAGGGTGAGTGCGGACAATTTTCTTATCTGTTTAATTGGAGGATCATCTGTCGAGCTTTATGGGGACGTCTTGGGGTTTTCGCGAAGAAATGACGACATTGCGTTCTTAAGGCTGTCCATGGAATACGGATTGATGGCCATCTGGGAGGGACATGTTTCAAATATCAAATGCTGACTACAGTACAGGCAAGCAGTGGGGTGTCAGCAAGGCTCGCTGGCCCGTCAAGTCCGCTCAGTTCCTCATCGACCTCCTGAAGAACGCTGAGGCCAACGCCGACACCAAGGGTCTCGACACCGGCAACCTTGTTGTCAAGCACATCCAGGTCAACCAGGCTCCCAAGGGCCGGAGACGCACCTACCGTGCTCACGGTCGTGTACGTTGACCTGTTTTTCCACCGCTGGAAATCTACCAAGAAGACTGACTCGAAGTCTAGATCAACCCCTACATGACCAACCCCTGCCACATCGAGCTCATCCTTACCGAGGGTGAGGAGACTGTCCAGAAGGGCCCCCACGTTGTCAAGCGCGAGGAGGTCCGCCTCAGCTCCCGCCAGCGTGGTGCTCAGATCCGCCGTGCCCTCACCGAGGCGTAAGCGGTCTGTAGATGTCGGGGGGTTAGGGTAGTCGGAAAATGAATGGGAAAGCCGGAGTTTGCTGTTGTACGGAACAAATACCTGGTCACGGGAAGGAATGCAAAAGAATTTCCATTATTCTATCTCTTGAATAAAACGAAAAAATTCGAAACCAAGCGGGCGATGAGCATGAGACAAAAGACATAGGCTTGTGACACTCTTGTGGAGGGTCCGTCAGCATTGGCCTTTGACAGGTCTGATTTATTTGGGTTCTGTCTTCGTTCGACGTTTCGAGGCTGGGCTTGAGTAACTGAGGTTCTCACCTGGCAATCGGTTGATGATCGGTTTCTTGTCTTGGTACAACCAGCCCGGACCTTTTCTCTCATATATTTCGAGATACAGTCGAGCGATATTTCATGAACGGGATACGGATTCATCTTTCCTTGATGTTTCGAGGGTACTCGATTCCAGACCACTAGACTCTCTACATTGTAACAACATGAAGCTTCCGCTTGATTTCTTGTAGTCCAAAGGTTAAACATGAAGGCGAACTCAAAGCCCATTACCAGCGATAAATAGTAGATCAGAGAAAGGCGACATTCGTCAGCTTCTGCAGCATATCGCTGATGCCTTGAGAAATCACCATGTCGCCAAGCGTGGCGGTGCTGCTCTGCCTGTCTTCTCCAACCATACCATAACATTCGATGCGGAGCTTAAAGCGGTTCAACAAAATAATTCGCCTCCTGCTGATGGAGACATGCTTCTTACTTTCTTTTCATGGAGTAGATGACGAGTAAGACTCTTAATTCCGATATGCATACGTATCAAGTGTACTCGCTTGCATCACCTGCTCAGACAACACTTACTGTAGAAGAATAACTGCCTTGCGACCGATATATCGACGGAGTAATATATTGAATGCTCACACAGAAAGCTCGCTTGCGTGTCCTCCTCGACGCATATTGCCACCGGCAATTCGTGCCTACCTAAGCATATATTTCAGATTAGGTTTATGGTTATGGTTTTGATTATGCTCCAGGCACATGAGGGAATTTGTGTTTCTGCCTTCCGTTCCAGAGATACTGCCTAGACTTCTCCATATTTAAAGCTACGTTTTACCTAGTTGGGTTGTCGGCTGCGCCGTGTTTATCAAGCCGATCTGTCTAGTTTTCCTCTCCTGTTGTCTTACCACTTATTATATTCTGCGACGAGTTCTTGTATATTTTGTTTTCACGTGTCCACATAATGAAGCGCATATTTGGTTCTCTCAGCAGGCGCTCGAGTGAGTCCCGATCCTCCCCTCTATGGACCCTGTTTACCCCGGAGGCTCATTACAAATAGGCCCATCGCTCAACACCCCTTCGGAGTACCCCGATGACTCGCCTGAGGGAACGATTTTGAAAGCAGTGGTACGTACGACACACGGAAAATATCGTTCGAGCGATGTCAAACATTGAACAAACACTAATGCGACGATTGGGGATTACAGAAAGCTTTCTGCGAGACCGGGGGACAAGATAACAGAGTACGTTGACTCATTCGACTCACCAGGTGCGCCGTCATCGCATAACATCACTAATATCCTGGTCGCATAGCAAGGGACCGAATTCGTTCACCTACCTGCCATAGTCGAAAACGCAGAGTCCAGCCCCAATGCCGCCAGAGAGGCTGCGCAGCGACTCCGCAAATACCTGTCCGATCCAGCCTCGACTCCAGCCTACATCCAATACAATGCAATTATGCTAATGCGCATACTCATTGACAACCCGGGCCACACGTTTACGCGCAACATCGATGCGAAGTTCGTCGCTACGATAAAGGATCTCCTGCGTGATGGGTGGGACCTCAACGTGCAACACTTTCTGCGGGAAACGCTGGGCGCCATCGAGTCGCAGCGACAGTGGGATGAGGACCTAGCGCCGCTCATGCACATGTGGAAGAAGGAGAAGGGTAAGCTGAGCAGGCAGAACAGTGGGGTACGCTTGTTAAATCTGGTGAAGTAATTGAAATACGTTGCTGACGGTTCCTTCTGGCCAGAGCACTTGGAGATCCTCACGGTCGCAGCAACAGCAGCAGCAGCAGCAGGCATACACATACATGCAGAGCTCTGCCCGGCCTGCGTCGTCACTACCACCGCCCGATGAACTCGCTGCTCGCGTGACGGAAGCCAAAACGTCGGCCAAGTTGCTCCTGCAGTTCGTTCAGTCGACCACCCCCGCAGAGTTCAATGAAAATGAGCTCATCAAGGAATTCTGTACTCGGTGCCAGACGGCGTCCCGCGCCATTCAGAACTATATACATTCGACGAATCCCGCACCCGACGAGAACACGCTTCAGACCTTGATCGAGACGAATGACGAGCTGTCGGTCGCTTTGTCCAAGTACCAGCACGCGTTCCTCAGCGCCCGCAAAGCGACGGGCAATTCAGGCAGCCAGTCACCCGTTTCGTCGAACGAAGCCACTGTGTCTGGTATCAATCGTCCGCTCCCTGCGCTCCCAGTACCGCGGGGGCAAGTACAAAGTCCCTCGCCCTCGGTGTCGGCACCCACACCGCAGCCGCAGCAGCAGCAGAACACTGCAACGGCGGCCACTTTGACAGCGGCGCCGGTCAATAATGGCACGGCTCGGTACGAGTACCGGTCGGAGGATTTCCAGGTACAGAATCCATTTGCAGATGCCTACAGCACACCCAACAACGCTCTGGGTGCCACAGAGAACCAACAACCGGCAGGATCACACCAACGTCCTACGCAGCAAACTCTTTAATCCCGTGGTGATTTACTTCAGGCAAGGTTGATAGGCCCGGCCCTTCTTTGTTGACTTGTTTTGAATGCGGTAAATTCAGACGATTGGGCTTTCTCGAGCCACTTTGTTTTTCGGTGCTGTGTAGCCGCTTCATTGTGATGGATTTGATTGATGCTATACCATTTTTGCAGATCATGACCATTGGATATTCCCCCTGCGTTTTGATTACTTGTGGCATTTCCCCCTTTGCATGTGATATAATTGGTGTATTGATTCATCCAGGATTGAGGAATCTGAACATAAAATCTTTATTAATATTGTGGAGACTCCGGACCTGATGCCATATCCAGTGGGTCGCTGTGCTGAGAGCATGTGAAGCCCTGTTGAATGTCGAGTATCAGGCATAGATTGATGCTTACCAGGTTACGACTCATGAACCTCCCACGGATATTACAGCAGGACCAACTCGGGCCCAATTCTTGCCTAGGGAAGATAGCCGATTCGCCATTGAAGGCTAGAGGTCGCACGATATAAGGGTTGTCTCTCATGGGGCTGTTGTCTTAATGAAGATGAAACTCGCAGAGTGCCAAGCATCCCGGAGCTGCTCCTAAGCAAATCCACTTCCATCTCCCCTGTTTCATGACAATTTATTCAAAACCACATCGGCGCTTCGGTCTGCTTAGACATTTCCCATAGCAGGTGAGTCGGTCGGTTGCGTTCCGATGCCATTTGGCTCGTGTTTATCATCCCAGTACTCAGTAGATAGCTAACGGGTAAGCTAGTGCCAACCCTAAGCTATGTCCAGCTCCTGGACCGACATAGGTCACAAAAGCCCTTCTTAGGTGGAGTAGCCGGCGCGACTGTTGAAATTTCGGGATGAAGTCTGTCCTTGACTCCCTGTTTGAGTCTAAAGCCGTGTCTCACCATGGGCGTCTGGATGGAGCTGGTCCTGTCGGTCGTTGGTTACGGGAAACCAGTAGGAGTATATAGAGTTGGTCGGGTCGCCTTGCTCTCTGCTCCTCTCTTCTCCTTCTCTCAGCACGCAGGCTTGCTTTATTCCACATTCTTTCTTCCGAGATTGTTAGGTCTGTGACCGTTTCATTCTTTGTCTTCCTTTCGCTTCAGTCTAAGACTCTCCTTGATCGATCCACGTTCGGTATACTGGTATACCTGATCCCTTCTCTGAATTATATACTTTTCGCATTTCGATTCTCACCACCCACAACCAACACAATGAAGCAAACCGGAACTCTCGTTGCTCTCGCCGGCCTGGTCTCCATGGTCCACGGTCACGGTTTTGTCACCTCCCCCCAGCCTCGTATGCCCGGTGCGGCCATGAAGGCTGCCTGCGGTAACCAGGTGGAGATCAACCAGCAGTCCGACAACTACGGCAACATCCAGGGTGAGCTTCAGGTCGCCAAGAGCCAGAGCGACTACAACGCCGAGGAGTGTGACATCTGGCTCTGCAAGGGTTACAAGTTCGCCGACAACAAGGACAACGTCTACTCGTACACCGCCGGCCAGACAGTCGACTTTGTGGTTGACATCCGTGCTCCTCACACCGGTGTGGCCAACGTCTCCGTCGTCGACACCGCCAGCAACACTGTGATTGGCAATACTCTCAAGTCCTGGACCGACTACGCCTCGACCGCCACCGGTGTCACCAGTGACGAGACCAACTTCAGCATCACCATCCCCGACGACCTGGGCAGCAAGTGCTCCGAGGCCGGTGCTTGTGTCCTGCAGTGGTACTGGTATGCCGAGTCGATCGACCAGACCTATGAGTCCTGCATTGATTTCACCGTTGGTGGCTCCGGCTCGTCCAGCTCCGGCTCCAGCTCCAGCGCTGCTTCCAGCTCTTCTTCGGCTCCGGCCTCTACCTCTGCTACCAGCATTGCTGTCACCACTCCCAGCACCGGAAACAACGTTGTCTCCAGCGCGCCTACCACCATGGTCACCAGCGTGAAGCAGACTGCCACCTCGGCCGCTGCCACCGCCAGTGCCACTGCTTCGTCCGTGTCTTTCCCCACCAGCGGTACTGCTGAGGAGCAGCTTAGCTTCATGGCTGCTCTTCTGAAGAGCCTGATGCAGTATGCTGCTTAAGAATAAAGAACCGATGTACCATCCGGAGGGATGAGATGTGTGTAATTAGTGACAGAAATAGAATTGCCTGCGTCTGCCTAAATCTGCTGCACTAGGAATAGGCATAATGCAAAAGTACTCCATCTGCCAAATCAGTGGATCAGATAAGATAAGCTCAGCCACTGCCAAGTCGGGTTTTTTCCTATTTAGGGAACCCGGAGAACCTCACTATCTTCCGCTGGTCAACGAAATGAATAAAATCCATCCATCCCTCATCTTCTCGCCATCCATCATTAATTGTCTTACTCCATATAGTCACTTGCTTCGCCATGGAGGACAGTCACTTTAGACACAGCATCTCTCACCACCCTTCACCCTTCAACCCACACACCCTACACTCGCACATCTCCCGAGACCGAGCCTCATCGGCCTTATCCTTGAACGAAGCCACCAGCACGGCCCTTGATCCCTCCGACCAGACACAACCGCACATCTCTCAGCATCGCGTCAACCCAGCCAGCGATGAAGAAGGCCAGCCGCCGCCCCGGTACACCGTGGAAAACGATCCCTTCCAGCTCGCCTCGAAGCTGAAAACCGCCGAGGAGATCCGCCAGATCCAACCAGAAGCCAACACCTCGCGCAAACGCGACGCCTCCTCCTCCTCCGCTGCTACAGGAAGCAAACCTCGCAGCCGCAACGCCATCTCCGACACGCTCGCCTCGCGCCAACTGCAGGGCTTCTACAAGACGCAGAACGAGAACATCGAGCGCATGCTCAAACCCGTCGAGGAACACGTCCGCGCCGCCCGCGAACTCAACAGCAACAATGCCCTCCGCTACCGCATCGCCGTCTACGGCTCCTTCGCCGCCAACGTCGTCCTCTCCGTCCTCCAGCTCTACGGCGCCATCTCCTCCGGCTCCCTCTCCCTCTTCACAACCATGGCCGACGCCATCTTCGACCCCTGCTCGAACCTCACCCTGCTCCTCTGCAACAAAGCCGTCAACCGCGTCGACCCGCGCAAGTTCCCCGCCGGCAAGGCCCGCATCGAGACAGCAGGAAACATCTGCTTCTGCTTCCTCATGACAGCCGTCTCCTTCATCCTCATCGCCTTCTCCATCCGCGAGCTGGCCGAGGGCTCCGACGCCGCAACGGGCTCCTTCCACCTCCCCTCCGTCATCGCCGTCGCCGTCGCCTTCTGCACCAAACTCGCCCTCTTCCTGTACTGCTGGGCCCTCCGCAACCAGGTCTCGCAGATCCGAATCCTCTGGGAAGACCACCGCAACGACCTGCTCATCAACGGCTTCGGTATCCTCACCTCGGTGGGCGGCAGTAAACTGCGCTGGTGGATCGATCCCATGGGCGCCGTTATCCTCTCCGTGCTCATCAGCGTGCTCTGGCTGCATACCGCCTACCACGAGTTCCAGCTGCTCATTGGTGTCACGGCCGATACGAAGATGCAGCAGCTCATCACTTATATCTGTATGTCCTTTTTTTTTTTTTTTTTTTTTTTTTTTCTAAATGAAGAAGAAGAAAATCGCTAATTGACCGTGTCCAGCTATGACTCATTCCCCTTACATCACCGCCATCGATACCGTCCGCGCGTATACCTCCGGCCCCCGTCTGCTCGTGGAAGTCGACATCGTCATGGATCCCGAGGAGTCCCTGCGTGCGACCCACGACGTCGCCGAGGAGCTGCAGATGAAGCTCGAGTCGTTGCCCGATGTCGAGCGCGCATATGTCCATGTCGACTATGAGACTACTCACAAGCCGGAGCATTTCTTGAAGAAGGAGCTGTAATCTCTATGCACTCCTGGGATCTTGAATTTACATGTGCTATTAAAATTCTTGTATGGGCTGGGTGGGTGTCTATCACTGTAACACAAAGATAATTGGGAATCAAACATTTATGGAGTCTAAGGTGTATCCACATGTCAAATCTACCTGCAACCACCGCTGGCCTCTAGATACATGCATCGCTGCTTTTCAGCAGCCTGGATCGCCAGAGCAAGAAACATACGAGTACCACGCGAAATAAACCCAAGAAACCAAAGAACAGGAAAGAGAGCCATGACCATCATCAGCACAAGCAACAGGGCAACGAAATGATCACGATTGTTCAAAGAGAGCAATGGTAGAGCAAAAGTTGCTCTCGTTCTCGTCCTGAGGGACGATACCCTCGCCGCTCGACGAGGTGATCATGTTGACGCTGGCCTTGGTGCTCAGTCCGTACAGATGCACGACCGAGCAGTCCACCTCCACCATGTTTTCCTGGCAGGACTCTGTGTCCAGGCACGTCTGGCCGTAGTTTTCGAAGAAGCTGTACAGACCCGCACCGTACACGAACAGATCCGAGGTGTTCATCACGCGCAGACCCCAGGCCTTGCGGCACGAGGCGGTCGTGCAGTGGGAGAAGGTGGGATCGTTCCATGCGGTCTGGGGCGTGAAGGGTGTCAATGCGTCGGGGTTGGACTGGTAGTATGGCGTCTCGGTTTGGATCAAGCCCATGAAGACGTTCTGGGCGTTTGCGACCTGGTAGTTGTACAGCTGGTTGTGCTCCGAGGCGGTGCCATACAGCCAGACGGGTCCATTGCTCTCGACCAGGACACCACGGCCGTTGTAGATGTTGATCTGGTTGTGGTCGGCCAGGTCGAGCTCGTGGTCCGCCGTCCAGAACCAAGAGTTCTCGATGTAAGCGCTGGCCTGCTCGGTGATGTGCAGCAACAGGAACGAACCGATGCACTCCGGGTTGGGGGTTGTGGTCTCCTTAGGGGTCTTAGAGCACTTGTCGCTTTGCAGTTCCGTGCCGGCGGAGCCACCAATGCGGAAGTGCACGTCCCACATACCCACAGATCCCTGGCTGGCCTCAGCAACATTCCATTCCATCAGGATCGCGCCGGGCGCGGGACCCTTGGTCTGGATGGCGAGGTCGGTAATCTCCACAGAGCCCTTTTCGCCGGCCTCGCCAACCTGGAGAAGAGGAATTGGGTTCTTTTCGTCGCCGAATTTGTCGCCGTAAGCCATGAGAAGGGGCCAGACCTCACCGGTGATCTTGATGTTCTTGGGCACTTTGATAGTGTCGGTGATGATGTAGGCACCATGGTCGAAGTAGACGATCTGGTCTTCCGTCACGCTGTTCAACACTTTCTGGATGGCGGCAGTGTCATCGGTCTGGCCATCACCCTTGGCACCAGCCGATTTAACACTCACAAAGGAAGAGGCAGCGTATTCAGTGTACAGAGGCTTGGATCGCTCAAACACCTTCTGGCCGTTCAATAAAGAGCTTGGCTTGGTCGCTTGAGGCATGAGGGTCTGGACACGGGTCTTGGTGATTGCCTTGCTCGCGCATGCACTGGCACCGTGGCTCCCGGCTATCGAAGCGACGGAGGCCGACGAGGCGGAGGCGTGCCCAGTGGGAATCACTGGCTTGGAGCTCGAGGTGTGGGGAGCATTTGGAATGACAACGGACGTCTCTCCGCCAGAGATGCCACCGGATTGAGCTGCGGAAGGATTTCCGGCAGCAACAGTTTCGGCAGGGACAGACGGTTTCTCAGAGCTGACGGTCGGACCTGAACCAAAACCAGGCTTGGAGAGAGCACCAGACAGGGTCGGATACACCGCAGGAATAGTCCTGGACGCAGAGAGCTGGCCTCCTACCTGAGTGGTCTCGGAAGTATCCGCAATGGATTGGCGAGCCTCTGTCGATGCTGCCGCAGGCGCCGTTTTTGCCGGGGCAGAATCCAGGGTCTCACTGGACTGCGCAGGGCAAGCAAGAACGGTCTCGACAATCGTCTCGGTCACCACGCGAACCTTGGCCTGAGTTGCTCGCTTGTTGAGGGTGCTTGTTGGAGTGTAGGTGTTACCCTGGATCCAGCTAGCAACAACAGATCCGCCTTGCAGGATAGTGTTACCACGGACACCGGCAACGGCCACCTGGGAGCCGGTAAAATCGACATTCTCGAGGATCAACACACCACCGCCGACGGGAATACTGTCCTGAGTGAAGGCGGTGACAACACCAGTGGGGGTGTTGGTGAGCGAGCTGTCGAGCAGGAGAACGGAGCCAACTGTCTGGTTCTGAGGCGAGTTGGACATGTTGAGACCAACCTGGCAGTTGTTGATGGAGACGGACTTGAAGGTCCAGGCCCAGTTCCAGTTCATGAAAACAGCGGTGTTGCAGTCGTTGAAGGTCAGGTTGCGGGTCGTGAACTGCTGGTTGCCAACGAACATGCCGTAGTTGCCACCATTAAAGACCAGGTCGGACATGAAACCACCGGAGCCGTTGTCCATGAAGATACCTTGCTGCTTGTTGGCGTCGCCGCCTCCCTTGACCATCTCGAAGCGGATATTCTGCAAGCTGGTTGCCTGACCCACCTGCCAGTGAATACCAGCACCAGAACTCTGAGGCATGGCCGTGAGGTCGATGACGAGGTTGCGAATGGCGCGGAAGAAGTTGTTCTGGTTGGTGTACCAGTTGGAGCCGTCATTCTCGTACGGGTCAGCGTCAATCACCGCCATGCCTGTAAAGCCGGCGGATGCTTTGATCACGGGAAGATCAATGGCATCACCAACGATTTGAGTGTAGTAGTACTGGACGATGGGCTTCGAGACAAGATATGTACCGGGAGGAAAGTAAACCAGAGCGGGAGTGGTGGTAGAGGAATCGCATCCTTTTCCGCACCGGTTACCGGAAGAAATTGCCTGGTTGATCGCCGCAGTATCATCGGTCGTTCCGTCGCCTAGATTATCGGTTAGAGAAGTACCGTGGTCACAGTAGAAGGAGACTACCTTTGGCGCCAAAGTCCTTCACATTGCGGTAAACCTGATAATCCGAGCTGTTGCCAAAAGCCACGACGCCTTGACGCTTGATATTGGCCACCCAGTAGCTCGACGAAGTATCTCTAGCTACATTCGCATGCACATTGAGAGACCCCGGGGTAGGAACCGCATTGACAAGGCCCAGGAAGAGCAGTATCTGCGCCAGCAAGAGCACGATCGGGGTGCGAAGAAAGGCCATCTTCAAGATGACTGGGATATGATCACTGAGCCAGCAATGATCGATGCAAGTAGCAAACAAATTTCTTCAGCAACCAGTACTGAAGGTCTCCCCTCGCCTTGTTCTTTGGCGCGTAGAAGATAAACGATTGGAGCGCGGATCAAGGAAAGAACGAGACTGCAAGGGAATATCAAAGAATGAAGGGAATAAAAAACAGCTGAAAAAATGAAGGAGAGACAAACACAGCAGCACACCACCAAGACTGAAGGAAAGAAGCAAATAGAGCGACAGAAGAGACAGAAACAGGTGAGAGACACAGATGTTAATGAAGGAGGGACTGGGTGCCTTGGTGAAGAGGAATAATTCCTCAGGCCAGAACAACAATAAGATAAGGTATTAATGAAGCCTGAGTGAATTGTATGAAGCGATCACAGTACCTAGATTGTCACTTCTCAAACAAATACTGTCACAATACACTGTTTCAGCCAATCAGAGTCTCCAAAAAAGGGAGCAGATCGCGTTTTGTTTTGAAATTACCTCTTATAGTCGAGGAATGAATAACAGCCAATCAGCGGTAGTCTTTGGGCAGAAGTCCACTGCCAGCAACCAATCAGATTGCAAGACGGCAGCCTCCCTGGTCGAGCGTGAAACAGTCAGACGGGCCGATGAAACGATTCAAGCAGCAGAAATCGGTGATGGACTGAATGATCAACACTTTGAGGATAGTTCTCCTGGACTATCAATATGAGCGCTCCATCTGAAGAAATTAAAGGAAGAACAAGCCTCGACGGGTCCGCCATCATCAGGGAAACGGAGATACCAACCTGAATTAGTGACTCAAATGGGTCGCAAACGAGTGAAGGTGACGAATCGCCCAGTCAGTCTTGAAAAGGAGAGGCCTCGACTCGCGGAGAAAGTGAGCAGGGAGATGGTATGGTTACTTGAGAGCTCAAGAGGAGAAGAGGCAGAAGAAGAGGAAAACTCCTAGAGTAAAGGCCATAGATCCGTCCAGCAACCTATATACCATACGCAAATACTAGGCACATACCTGGAAATCCCCCAGGGCGACACGACGCCTGCACAGTGCACATACTGTCTACGAGTAAACTCAGAGCTCGAATTCCTTCCATCCCCGTTCTGGCCTTCAGTCTCACCTGTCAATGCGACAGGCTCGCATTCATCTTGGCGAGGAATCGTGTGCTTTGTACAGGCCGACAGCGCTCGAGATAGAAGCGCGTGGACATTCCATGCTTGACAAATTTCCTGCTTTGTCTCTGAGGACTATCGATCTCCCCCGATGATTCGTGTACCTGGCATCTGCGTGTAGAATGACAAGAATCCTCACATAGCTGTTGACGCCAATGGCGTGGTGCAGTGCGGTCTCGACTCGCAGATCGATGGCCCAGCAGATCCACTTGGTCGTCAGGAGGATTAACTAGTTACTTGACCTGACATTCTTGAATCGGGACAGGGAGTCTGGGCAGTTATGTTGTCGCGATTGAGACTGCGACAGAATTCATAGTGGTTCAACATGAGGAGAAGTCTAATATTGCGCTGTCATAGGTGAGTTGTTTTCTTTGCAGTTCGATTGCCCATCTTATGAAGCTATTGGCACTGCCTATGCGGATAAAAGCAAAGGACTACAGGCTACATAGATGAAAATGCTAAATGCGCGTCCGCATGCATGGCACGTGGATCCACCGCATTATCCAGGGGCAAAGTATGTCTGCCTTGCTGCCTTGCGCAGTTGACTACTCTGCGATGATCTATAGAGGTAGTGAGATAATTATTAGATACTCCGTCGTCAGCCGAAATCGAGTCATGCACTCATAAATTGCGAGACTGCATACACCCTAAATAAAAGTCACTAACACAAAACTTGATCCAGGACGGCAGCGAAATCCATCGTTTCCAAGAGACCGACTCCCTCAAAATCAGAAAACAAGGAGACGTCTAGATCAGCGACAGAATCAACTGGAGAAATTTCAGTTGCAGTCACCGCTTCGGGCGCGAGAATCTCGTCCATGATGCGGGAGAAGACTCGAGTCGCTCGGCTGAAAAATGCGTTGTTGGCGGTGCCTGGTTGGGCCATTGATTCCAGATGGGAGATGAAGACGCTTAGGTGCCGAATGAGAATGCCTCTAGGATAGACGCTCAGTAACTGGTTCGTGCTGGCGTGCATTTGGAGCGCTCTGAGCAAAACACTCGCGCTGGGAAAGCCGTAGAGAAGAAGCTGCCACTGGTCAGTCACGTCTTTCGTGCAAGGTACTACCTAGGGTGAATGAACCGCTTACAGTCCAGATAAAGTCACGATGGATATCCACAGCCCATTCCTGTTGTCTGCCAAAGGTCAAGACTGTCGAGAGTATGGTCGAACTCACATCGACTAATGCAGCGCTATACTCTGGGCTGTTGAGAGCCAACAACCGCTGCACAAGAAACTCATTGTAGAGAAACGCCAGGTACGAGACAATGAGCATGACCTTGATGCTGATCGGATGATGAGTGTTCCAACAGTCCTCTGTATAGTGAAGATGACTGGGTACCAAATCCCAGGCGTGGCGGCAACGGCGGGAGACGTCTCTTTGATTCGCCATTAACCTTCAGCTTCAGGTTACGGGGAATCAAGCTCACCTCAACTGCTCGTCCCGGTTCTCGCTGGACTTTGTCAAGGACAGCTCCAGGATTTCCTCTCGAAACGTGCTGATGAGGAAGCGCAGTCTAATCCAGGCTGAACGCTGGTAGACAGCATGACAACTCCACCCTTCAGCCGTCACTGATCTTTGCGCAAGCTCTCTACTCCCCGTAAGAGCCTCATCGCTGATATCAAGAGGCAGACGGCAATCAGAATGTCTCCACGAGATACGGGGCGGTCGGCCCAGGAAGGTCGCAATGCTCTTGTCCAACTGATAGGCAGCGGCGAATAGTCTGCGTCTCTGCTCCAGCAGGAAGACCGGAAGATCAATGCTTTCATCCGAATCCCGGTGCAAACCAAGCTCGAATATGCATGTAGCGAGCTCGCCTAGCCGATGCCAGGTTACTGAGCCTTTCACTTCGTCAGTCTTCTGCCTTCTTCAAGGATGACAAGTATAGCTCACTCGAGTGACCGAGGACCAATGTGGACAAGAGAAGGTTTTCATGGAGTAGCCAGAGCATAAGGTCATTCACAGGTGATAGGTATCTGCACGTTTCAAGCACGGTCTCACTCGCCGCGAGCATCCTGCGCGCAAAGTGCGAGGCCAGGTGCTTGTTCTGCGCCCGCCCCAGCCCGAAATGGCTCGCTCGACCTGCCAGAGCATAAACAACCCCAAGTATCTCCAGACGCAGGCAAGAACCTGTATAGAGCCTGTGGAAGTGCGCTCCGTCCACCGTAGGCGGAACACTAAATGTCCGCCGCGTGTTGTCAAGGACAGTTGCAACCAATGTTGCAATTTCCGTCGTCCCTTGGTCCAGCTGGTACGCATGATATGTATCCTCCATCTGGGACAGTGCATTCAGGACAAAAGGCGCCGCAATCACGGCGGACTGACTGACACCGTAGAATTCCCTTATCAATTGCTCGAAAGTAGGAAATTCCACGAGATGGCCAACGATCTCGGTAGCTCTCTTCACCCACCACGCTGGAACAGACGACGCCGCAGTGCTTTCATCAGCGGCAGGGACTAGCTCATTCGCACCCTCTCCTTTGCCCAAAACAGAAACAAAAACTGGTCGGTCCCAAGTATCCCGCTGACAGCAAGTGGTCTGACCTCGAGCCTGAAGACGACAAAGCAGCCTCAGGTGACCCACGGAGTTCGGATTGGGACTCTGCCAATGCATGCAGATGCTCGCTGTAAATCTCAATTACCAACCGCCTGTCAATCGACATTGAGGCTACATACCCCTCAACCACGAACCCCCGACTCCGCCTCATAGCCCGCGTCAAAGGCGCAGGATGATAAAAGCACCGACTGGTGCTGCCGCGCCGCAGACAGCGAGAACAGACGGGATGCACATGGTCGCACCGGACTTTGTCTTTGCGACATGGCTCGCAGGAGGCGGGCTTTCCATTCCGGCGGCGTGAGGTCCTGCCACGGTCAATGGAGATATTCATTGTATTGAAAATGTGGTGCAACTCACATGACAGCAGGTGTCTACTTCCTTGTCCGAGTGCTTTGACTTGAGAGATGACAGGTCTTCTCTCTGGAGTCTGGAGTCCGTGAATGATCATCGTTCCAAATTGAGCCACCTTCTGGTTGTACAGTAGTTTCGGCGTTCGGTGGGGGAGGTAATCCCTGTCGACTACTCCGTACTGCCATAGCAGTGAATGTGATCTACTCCGTAGTCATGTGACCATTACTTAGTCGCCTTCATTTGGTTCAACCTCAACTTATGAATTTCAATATGCTCTCAGTCTCCGCTGGAAAGCCTCAGTTTAGGTCCAAACATACTGCCACGACAGTAGGTACTCTGTAAGTTATTCTGGGACTTGTTCATTGGTGGAACTAGCTTATTCCTGACCCAATCTGCAGGCTTTGGTTCTTCCAGAATGGTGGAGGAACCAGGATGCAGTGTCCTGGGTTTTACAGTTCAGAAAAGTCCTCGAGAGCATAATCTACAGATGCGGTGAAGCCCTCCAGAAAGCTTTACTTATTTTTGAACAAAACGACGCTACTAGCGATGTCCATCACACCTCGCTTAGTCAGTTCCTTCCAAAGCTCTGCGTTCGATGGAAGGAGTTCAGTGACACGAAGAGCATCACTACAACATTTCTCTCATCCTCGGTGATCTATGATGACTTCGATGCTATGCCCGTCTGGTAGAAGTGAATAATGGTCATCACATATCTTTCTTCGGTGAATTTCCCACCGCAGATCGGAGCAATGATCCTACGGAGAAGCTGGAGAAGATTTCACTGACCGATCCCGAGCATGAGAGCCTTTCATCTGAAGGCGAAGATCCAGCCTGTCTTTTGAAAGATGAGATTGTCCCGGTTCCTCGCGGCATCAATCCTGTGGACTTCCTGATGAAGTTTTCCTCGATCGTTCCAGTTATCACCACCAAGAAACTCATCACTGATGGGGTCAACCAGGAAGCTGAACACCAAAAGTTGATAGACAACGCCCTCGCATACAAAGCCTCCGTCCAGAACAAACTGACAGAACTCACATCTGCCATCGATGGATTCCAATCAGCCTTTGGACGATCTTATTACCCACAGTCCTTTTGCTATCACTATTCGGACAGTACGGACGAAGATGGCATAAACGAAATCACAAAGACGTTGCAGAACGCCATCGACGAGCTTAATTGACAAGGTCCGACGTGTCGTCCGACGACGTCCGTTACGTTCCCTATTTGCTTCCTTTGCTTCATTTGACGACGTCCAAGTTGCGCCAGCCTTTCAGATCTCAGACGGAATTACCTCAGAAGTAGCACCACGTCGCGTCGTTGCGAACATCTACCCGTTTGGCCGCCCGCAGACTTTTCCGGACAGCGTCCTGTGTTTAAAAGTCAAAAGCGAAAAGAAGAAACTCGGTGAGACCTTCAACATTGATAGTGATATACTTTGGTTTCGGGGACTGAACATGGTTGAGCTTATTATCCATGAGCTTCTTTATACCAGTCATCAACTCCAGGACTTTGACAATGAGATTGTGAAAAAGCCTTTTCCAGAAGCAACCTGACAGATGATCTAGGTGATGGAGTCAAGTTAGCCAAGAGGAAGGCGAAGACATCAGAAGGCACGTCAAAGAGGCAGAAGGTTAGCAATGATGGGACCACAGCGAGCACTAGCAGTCCCCAGCCTGGGGACAGCAACCCAGCAGCCAACGCAGCAACCACAGCGAACACAGCGAAGGACCGCGTTACGTAGACGCGTCGGAATATGAAAGTGAAATGGCTGGTCAGATCAAGCCCGACGATTTCAAACCAGGGATCATTATGCCAACTGAAGAAACCCTGGAGCAGTTCCGCCAACATCAAAAGGTCTTTGATAACAAGGCATATCAAAGGGAGAATTACGAGGAGGTCTGCAAGAAGTTGAATATCAAGAACCCTGATAATCTGCGGATGCGCTCTATGAACAAGGGCCACAGTGTTGAAGTTTTGGCAGCCAACTGCGATTGCGGGTATTCTCAACATAAGGTCAAAGGCTAACCTGATGGGCGCTGTCCTGGGAGACTCAGTTGACCTGGGTAAAACCTAGGAGACTGTCGGCATCATACTGAAGGTACGTGCCTCTTAACTAAGTGGGAAAAGCCTTTTCCAGACTGACCTATAATAGATATGGGAAGACTATAATGATGCAGTCATTGAGACACAAGACAGTCCTAGCGCTCCACCAAGAGCACAACCATTCCTTGTGGTTATGCCCCCCGGCCTCATCATGCAATGGGTGTTAAGAGATAACCAAGATCACACCATATCTCAACTCTCAAGGTATTGGTTTACTATGGCGATTCACGTGGAGGTACCCTCATTTGGAGTTTTAATTGTGGAGGGGAAACTCCACAAAAACCGCTACTTATTTAACAGGAAGCCCATAAATAGCCAAACAGTCGTGATCACAAGCTACGTACCAAACTCTGAACTCGAGACATGGGCCGGCAGCTGTCAAGTCTTGGTTACTCAATAAAATATGCATGTTCCTAAGCCAATTTTGTATATTCCAGACAAATTCCTAAATAACCTCCAAGGTTGTTTCCATATAGTCGTCCTAGATGAGGGTCATCCTTTGCGCAATGCCGTTTCAAACCAATCAAGGGCCATTACTTGGCTCAGCGCGAAGTTGCGTCTTCTGCTTTCAGCAACATTAATCTTCAACTTGATCAAGGATTCCCGGGGCTATAGTGGAGATGGGAAGGGGGATGATTAGACAAGCTGTTAACCATGAATCTCCATGGGGACATATAGATGACTGGTTCTAATAATGGATGCACAAGGTCATTTTCCCAGGACCAGAGGATATACGTGCGGGCCGATCCGCTTTTAACCATGGTCAACACCAGAGAGGTCAAGTCTCACAGCAACCACTCAACACTACGTAGACACGGCTATGGGCTCAACTAAAGCATCATGAATGGCACATCCTAGACGTCGCACTCCATCAGCGAGTTGATCCTCCTCAACCCATGCGAAACAAAGTCGTAGGAAGTCATGAAATTCGTTGCCCCGATCCACCGAGTCCCCGGGAACCTGGAAAATCTCACCAGCAGCCACCTCGACCTTCTCCTTCTCCAGAGCCAGTCGCACGATATCACTTGCGCGTAACGGACTCGGAAGACGCACCCAGATAAAGTATCCGCCGGCGACCTCAGAGGAGTAGGGCACCACTACACCCAGAGGGAGGAGGTGTTCGCGGATAGCTGACATCATGCGATGGTACCTGCGCGCATAGGCGGGCTGCAAAACCTCAGTGAGATGAGACTGGAAGATCCCGTTGGCGAGCAACTGAGCAATAATCGTGGAGGCCATTTGGGACGGGGCCCCTCCAGACCGCGATGAACCCCTGCCAGATCATCAGCTCAGACAGTCCAGATCAAGGTTCAAGTTACGAGGCAAATACGCTTGCGAAAGACCGTAGGCAAACTTCGCCGTCCCTTCTGCCCATCCGGTCCGCATGCCAGGTCCGATCAGCTTACTGAAGCTCCCGTTACTGACGACATTACCCCATTCATCATGGGGCCCTCCGTTTAGGTAGCGATCGATGTCTACCAACCGAGGCACGCGTGCCTTGTCGGGCGCTGCAAGGGGGAGGTCTGGATCCGCGGACCACTGTAGGAAATCGTAGACATCATCTGTCACAATCAAGGCGTCGAATTCGCGCGCCAGCTGGACCAGTTTCTCCCGGTCGGACAGGGACATGGTCCGCGTGGTGGGATTAGAGAAGGTCGGCGTGGCATAGATGAGGTGTTTGTAGATTTTCCCCCACGGCCTCGGAGGTTTATGTTTCTTTACAGATCAGTTGGTTGGCTGGAAGACAGAAAGATAAAGACTGGAATACGAAAATAAAAACAGCATGCTGATATACCAGTCAGTCTACCGTACCGGTTCGAATCTCTGCTCCTCATTAGCTTTCCGCTCGGCGGCCTCCATCTCCCGACGGAGGTATTCAAGATCAAGCCCCGCATCATCTTGCGGGATGGCTCTCATACGACCCGCGAAGCCGGCATCATCCACCATCCGAGACGCCAGGTGATACGTAGGCGCTACCATCCAGACATGTCTGGTGTAACTTGGGTCGGTGAAGACCTGGAAGATACATGCCAGATTCTGGCTGGCACCGCCGGTGATGCAGATGCGATCGAAACAAACCGGATCGCGTGTTTTATAAAAGGACGTCAACCATTCGGCGACACTCTTTCGAAGGGGCAGATAGCCATCATCAGGACCGTACAGCAGGGCTGGGGCCCAGATGGACGGCGTGGACAGGACGGTGGCTGATGCATGGGCCAAGGCTGTGGTGGGCAGCAGGGCAGGGTTAGGCCAGCCTTTGAAGAGATCGATCAGTTCCTCGGCGGGAACAGAACGCATGTCGACAGTTGTCACTTGCCAGTATGCGTAGATAACTTTAATCCATGGATGTGTTGGTGACTCGATGTCAGTATTCAGTAGTGATTCAGCGTTGCTTGATGACACTAATGTTGAAATTTTCAAGTGTGGCAGAACGCGTCAGTCGGGTGACGTTGGCCGCGCTTTTTTTTTTTTGACCGAGACAGAGCAATACACATGCCATTATTGCAATGCTTCTTTTCACCGTCTCTTCAGTATCGGGTCCTGATTTCGATATGAGCAATCGTGAGACATCCTGCAGAATCCTCTACATTGAATCTACTACTGTTATTGTTGTGAATCATGATCGGTCCCAGCAGTGTCAGTTGAAGCACCACACAAAAACATCGCCTCAGACTTTGGGTGTGGGGAAATACATGACAGTACGGAGTACCTTACCTTACCACAGCTGACGAACTGTACCGAATCCGGTTTACCAGGCCAAACTCGGGGATTCCACGGCGGATGCCAGCCATGGCTGAGCATCGATATAGGAATGCTCGTTTAAGAAGTCGACACATTAATAATATTACTGCTTGATGATTATTGAACACATCTTGTCAAACCAAACAAACAAGGACCTACATACTTCAGAGTATGCCTGACTGCCTGTACAATTGAATGGCAACGACTGCCAGCAAAATGCCGTACACAGTATCCGTACCTTGCGGATCCTCGTCAAAGCCAAGTCCCAACAAACCAATCAGAAACAGGCAGGCAAACAGGTGCTGTTTCTATTCTTAGCGGAGTCTAGGTACCTTAGTCCGTAGTCCTTAAGGTACTTACTTATTTCTTCCTTTTTGCTTCTAGGCAGATTTCTAGTGCCAACTGCCCCTGAGCCTCACCAAGGCTACCATATTTCATCAGCAGCAGCATAGAATACGTAAATAGGTAGGTATCTACGGAATAACGCATCGAGGCAAAGTAAACGCCTGATGAGTGTGCTAATAAATTTGCTTGGGTAAAAGCATCCGAGGCTGTCCCACGTCATCGGAAGTCCCAAGTCCTAACCACACATGGGCATTCCAGAATGTGGGTTTGTGTCCAGTTGACTTTTTCCAGGAGATATCTACTACTAAGTATCCGGATCAAAATGCTAAATAAATGCAAACTGTTTACCCCTGGCCGGTGGTACCTATGATCAACAACGGTCGCGTAGATGGCTATAGTTCCTGGCAATACTTGCAGCAGACAAGGCGCGTGGTGCATTTTTCACAGTGCTCGTATAGACTCAATAGCACAGAGCATGCCTCTTCACGGACAGTTGGAGATACTCTCAGCCATGCTCAAATATTTTAGAAGCCAGAGGATCAGATGAGATCCGAGTCGTCCGGTGATTCTTGAGTCCTGACGCTGTGCCTCTGTACTCCACACAGCTCATCAGGAGGCGAAGGCACCAACACATCACACTTACTGACAAATGGCCATTGTATGCTCCCTTAACATCAATTCAATTAAGTACGTAGATACTGTTTTCAGACACAGCCTCTCCTGATCTCCTCTTAACCATCCAATATCCATACCGGTAGACTAGAGTTGTTGGTCACAAATAATAATTCAACTGAATATCCCAAGAGATTCCCCACTACTGTGCGCTAAACTAGAGCTAGAGACGTACAGCCATGATCCATCATGAGAAAAGAACAAGAAGAAGAAGTACGTAGAAGAAAAATATAAATAATATTTTGACGGCATAAAATAATGAAATTGTTAAATCCGAAGCTTAAGGATCTCAGAAAGAATGAGGAATCAAAATCATTTCCTCTCCTCTCCTCTCTTCTCTCTTCTCTGTCTGTACAACTTCTCAAAGAGTCAACACAATTGATTCTCCATGCTCCACCATCATCTACCAGCTTAGTGCATACAGTCGTCATATCACTTCTTGGTCTCCCGAAAATCTCGAGAAGAACCAAGGTCCTTGATCAATCAGATCCTTGGCCAAGCAACTCTGGTAACTGGTAAGTCTACTGTCCATTCATTCCTCCTCTGATCCCTCCTGCCGATCCATTCCCCAAGAAACGCGCCAGAGACATCCCTCCCAGCTCGCTCTGTCGCTCTCCTCCTCTGCCTTAACTTACTTGTCCCTCTTTTCTTTCACTTTTCCTAAACCGTTTTCTGTATGGTTTAGTCCATTCTTTCGCATGGTTTGCAATCAAGTCTTACCTCATCTGCTGTCTTGTTTGCTTTCTTTTTTTCTGCGTTTGTCCCGAGTACATCCACTGCGCCCGCTGCTGTCGACTCTCCAACTCACCCATTGCTTTATTGTACAGCGACCTCTGAGATGTTGTCAGCTCCTGTAAGATCGGCCAAGCGCATATCGTCCCTCTTTTCGTTGGGGTCAAACAAAGATGGTTCTCCCTCCTCATCACCGGTCTCCCCGAGCTTGCCGAAGCACTCCCCCGACCAATACCCGCAGGATGTACAGCAACGCCCGCGGAGCAGCTCCCGCCCCGCGCGATTAGTGTCCAACCCTCAGTCCGACTATTCAGACACCCGGAGCGCCATATCGCCAGGCCCCATCGATCAATTCGACTTGGATGAGCCTCTCCCCCCGCCTCCATCACTCCTGGCGGTGAACCAGGATCTTGCCGACAGTGCCAACAGTT